GTGTGTTAAAATAATTTGGCCCATAGTTTTTTATTCCCCCTTTTCCTTGGTCCAAACAGTGGTAGCAGTGTAATATACTTTTATTTCACTTTTGTTGGTCAAAAAAACATACATACGCACGGCTCCAATAACGGCAAATAACAGAAACAGTCGGCCAAAAACTCACACAACAGAAAAACATCAGCCACTGTCTTCCTTTTTGCCAATAAGTTGATGGCAGTCAACAAGGCCTAACATCGACCATAACTATGTATGATGGATAAGAGCATCCCTGGCATAAAAAATATATAGCCATGAAGCTAGGTTAGCGCCGAAGTAGTGCTAAATACTGAGCCCTTTAACAGTGATGGCATGTTATTGTCGAGACACAGAGAATGTACGTTGAGTATTTACACGCCAGTGTCACCAGGTATTTTGAAACTTGATTTATTCCCAGAGATCAACGAGAACAGTGACAGCCTGCTGAGAGCTGCGTCATTCTCCACCGTCCTTCTGGCTTCAGACCATAAAGCTGCTGTGGTGACCTCACCATCCTCCGTCTCCTTCAGGCCACTGGTGTGCCTGTGTGTGTGTGGGTGTGTGTGTGTGTGTGTGGTGTGTGTGTGTTTGTGTGTGTGCTGTGTGTGTGTGTGTGTGTGTGTGTGTGTGTGTGTGTGTGTGTGTGTGTTTACTTAATCCTCTTTCCAACTCCAAGAACAGTAAATAAACATCACAGGAGTTGGAGGAACTGCAAGTTGGGCTGTGTTGAATTTCTTTTTGGTAAATTTGCTGCCAATATCAAGCAGTGCTGATAACAGCAGTTTCATACTGACCTTCCCCAACAGCTGCTCAACACCTTTTCCATCCAAAAAGAGTTACCTGCCTTTTCACTTGCGGTCTCACTTTTTCTTCTTGTCAATTTTATTTTGGTGTTTTTAATTCCTCATAGACTTTATATCTTGATTGACTTTTTTCCGGTGCATGGGCCATCTCAAGAGGACAATGGTTTATACACTGCAGTACTCCCTTCCTTCATTCTGTTTATTAGGCCGAACAAATATGTAAATACAGTGACAATGATGTGCTATCTCACCTCACAGTGCAGTTTCATTGTCAAATACTCTCCAGCTCCACTGCCAACTTGTTTAAATGTTAATGGTTCAGCCCAAGGGGGTTTATACAGAGGGAGCCTGTGAAGAGTCTTTATGGTTACATCATCTTCTAATCGCTTTTACAGTCCTAAATAAAACGCTTTTTCCCCTCAGCGGCCATGCAGACATAAACATGCCAGTACACAGGGGTCACTTTGACTTAGATCTTGTGCACATCGAGCTCTTGGATGTCCCCTTCGTCATTGAGGTCTCACTAAAGACTAATGTTTACTGGGAATTTAAATCTGACACTGAATCAACCACTGAATTGATTAGCATCTGCCGAGACTCTGTAAACTATCAGCCCCTTAAAGAAAGGCGAGTAAAAGTAATACAATCCTCACATTAGTCTCTGTAAGAGCTTGCATATATGAAAAATAATAACACACAGAGACCTGAAAACAGAAGAATAAAAACAGACAGTAACACAAGTTTATCATCTCAATCAACTTCAAATCCATTTAATATTGTTCATGTTTAGATAATATTATTCTTGATTAAAAGTTAGCTGACAGTTTTGGTATTTAAAATGTGCATAAACAAGCACAATCCACTACATGCGATGAAAAGGAGTGTTTTTACTATTGCCTTGTGTTTGAAAGGTACTATATAAATAAACTTGCCTTACTATACTTTGGTTTTTTGGAAGTATCCTAATGAGCTTTGCTTGGCTCAATTTCACTGAGCCGCCAATGAGATCATGTTGACTCGTCTCCTCGTTCAGTCAGACCTGCAGTCAGACCTGTGTCGCTACTTAAGAGATTTAAGCATCAAGGTCAGTAGTTGAAAGAGATGGAAACAACTCCGTTACTATACAAGATAAAATACTAATATAGATCATTATATCTCAATGGACATTTTTGAGCCTAGATGTTTAACACACATAGGCAACCAGTGTTGGACAGTTGAGGCTGATGCTGATACCAATATGAATATTTCAGAGGTCATTACAAATTATAATTATGCTTTAAAATAACTTTTCGTAAAGAGTGTGTGTTTTTTGTGTGCTCTTTGGTGAACAAACTATATAACGGCCAATGTATCAACCTATAGCTTTAATGCATCATACAAATATGTTATCTATTCTTACCTTGTAGATACATAAAATATACATAACTTCCCCTGTTTTTTGTGAACGGTTCTGGGGAAAGAAGAAGAAGAAAGAATACACATTTTAGGATGAATGAAGACTTGTCCTGCTTCTTTAAAATGTTTTGTTTCTGTTCGTCCCACCTCAGGGTTTCCACTTATACAGTCATAGTCTAGTCGTTAAGTCTGTCTAAACCTTAATTAATTGGTATTGAATTGTTGTTGTTTCAGTCCCTCTTTAATGCCCCGGCCACACAAGGACGAAAACGGTCGTTTGCGTTACTGTTTAGTGTCATATAGACCGTTCGGCCACACGAGGACGACCGAATACGGCACTAAACGACTGCGTAAACGATAACGTGTCCCAAGGTGGATAGAACGGCATACGCAACGCTCTGGGGGGTCCAACGGCTCCGTGTGTACGCCCTATACGATCATTTTCTGATAATGATGAGGCAATAGCCCCGCCTCTCCCCACCTCTGCTGCTCACCCCCGCGTCAAAGTAAACTGCACACTGAATTCAGATTATTTATCTTTCTCTCGATATGGACCTAAACGCGAGTGAAGTCTAATCTGACAGGACGGAGACACGCAGCTCTGCTCACCTGCAGCTCCTCCCGCTGTGATGCGGCGTGACGGTGAACGGAGTAAAACACACATTCAAGTCTCAGATCATCACCCTTAGCTATTTTAATTACCTCTCAAACTACCTAAACTAGATATAAATATGTTTATTTTTACTGTCGGCCGGGTCACTCATTACTGGATCAGCTGCTGCTGCATGAAACAGACACTGGCGCTGTCCGAAGAGAGGGAGGAAAAAGAGAGGCTCCGTGTATTTTATTATTATAATATATAGATTCGTTATTCATTTGTTTTAAAGCTCAATAAATAACAAAGAAGACCTTTGACCGGCACTTTTATAATTTTGTCGGAAGATTTAAACTTTAATACACGTTGACTCTGCCCGGTTCCCTCGGCCCCCACCGCGGAGAATAAACAGAAGGGCAACCATGACAACCATGCTTCTTCGCTGCTTTTGTGGAGGAAGTTACAGCGCCACGTACAGGCTCCTGCATATGTACTGCAGCTTCTCCAGCGGTTGGAGCTAAACGGAGCTGTCTCGTGTGGACAGACACTATCCGGATGACTATTGCGTGTGGACGGAAGCTTTTTTGCGAGTTTGCGTTAATCCTATGCGTTTAGCCGTTTTCGTCCTCGTGTGGCCGGGGCATAAGACTGTTAAAGACTGCTGTGGTTTCACTGCTGCTATGCTCCTCTCTGAACTCCAGTTTTAACATGTCAAGTGTTTTATTTACAACCCTTAACCTTGATGCTTTAACACTAGAACCGCCAACGGGGTCAATTTGACCCAGAGCTGTTTTATATTGTATGTAACTTTTTTTCAATAACATATTAAAGTCTCCCAGTCCGTGACTTTTCCTGAAAGTGTGTTATATAGCACCCTATGTTGTTAAAAATTGTCAATATGAAGTCAGATTGAAGAAATCACCCAAAAAATTGCCATTTATACCTATTTCCGCCAAGCGGGTCATATTGACCCCACCCCTTTTCCCGCTATTGATTTCGCGTGTAAACAAACATGACGTGTTGCTATAGCAACGCCTTTTGTCTACTGGGTTCCTTATAGATTGAGAGATAGATTGAGAGAGAGAGCGATAGATAGATTGATAGCGACAGTCTGTAGTGAAGGAGCGCGCTCCTGCTCATGGGAGACTGCTCGCGCTGCGCTCCGCAGCAAACAGCTGTTTGCTTTTCACTCAACAACGACAACCGCCTCACGAAACGCTATGTTGTACCGTTAATAACGAAACAATTTAACAAAATTGCTTGTCAAAATACCAATACCACAGGACCTTTTTTTTTTTTAAAGCAATACTTTTACCTTGAAAATCAATGCATTCTAATGCTGGGTCAATTTGACCCCGGTGGCGGTTTTAGGTAGGGATATCTCTGGCGTTTCTAGTGTTAATGCCTTTTCATAACTTTTAAGAATTCATCTGTTGTCTTTTAACATGTAATACTACAATAAGCTGTGTTTTATTCCTGTACAGTATTTCATTTTACATTCTGAAATTAGCAAATCTTTCTCTATTTTACATGTACATATAGTTTACTTTATCGGCACATTTGTCACTTGCAACATTCTCTTGCATATATGTTATTTATGTTCTGTTACTTTCACTATTTGTTATTGTTTACGTCTTATATATATATATATTTATGTTGAATTGCTGAAGGAGCCTGGGACTTAAGATTGTCATTATACCATACACTGTAGCTCATTATCAGAATCAGAATTCCTTTATTAGTCCTACAATGAGTACATATGCATTATTACAACAGCAGAAATATAGTGAAGATACACTAAAGACAGTAGACTTATATATATATAAAAAGATATGCATTATTAATAAGAAGAAACAGTATGTAAGAAAAAAAGAAGAGATACACCAAAATGGTAAAAAAGTAAAGTGACCATATACAACTAAAGAGGTAGCTGGTACTGTACGACAATACAATCTTTGAATCTTTAATCTAATGAGAAAAATAACATCCAAAACGATGCACCTGCCTCACATTTTACAATATTAAGATACTCAACAGAATAGGTTTCCCCTCTTAAGCCATGACATCAGTGGTGTCTCTTTCCTCTTCCTCCTCCTCCTCTTCGACGCTCCCCTGCCTCTCTCTCTCTACTCTCTCCCTCCTCTCTCTCGTTGAACAGTCTTTCCTCCCTCACAGACGTTTGGGTGCCACCGCCGCTGCATCCTATTCTCACTGTTGGTCTCTTCCTCTTGACTCCTTTACTCCGCGGAGAGTGGAGGAAACACTGACAGAACAAGTGGCCACCACAGGGCGAACCACAACAATGACCCGGTCCTAACTAAATTGAATGGATTAGTTAATCTATTCTGAGCCTAATGAGATAGAGACATGGGTCGCAGCGGCGTGGTACCATTTCGTTAGCTCCTCGGGAACATTTCCCCTGTCAACAGTCCTCCAGACGTGGGAAATGTCGTTTTTGATACTGAAGATGCCGAGGGTGCCAGGGGACAATAACAGACACTTGAATGCACGCTCACCTGTGTCGCTTTTGTGGCGCGCGGATTCCTAGAAGTGGAAGTAGCAGCAGTAGCAGTAGTGGTTGTAGTGGTAGTAGTAGCAGCAGTAGTAGTAGTAGTAGTAGTAGTAAGTAGTAAAGGAGGACAACATGAAGTACCAGAAATATCTCACGGTGATGCAGATGGCCATGGGAGTGACAGCCTCCAACAAAGACTGCCTCCCGGTGAAGAGAATGCTCTGGTGAGTACAGAGGAGGAGGACCACGTGTGGATGGGAGCGTGTGTTGTGCGTGCGTGAAAATCGTGGCCAGGTAGTGTTTTAATGTGAAGACAAATAGCTTTAAAATTAGCCTCTTTAGCTTTGTTGTTATGAACCATTCGCCCTTTTCCCTTGCCCTGTGTTTCAGAAAGAGAATTAGTTTTATTACCAAGTAGGTTTAAACCTACCAGGATTTTGATTTGGTTCACATGGTGCATTCAATGACACCGAAAAAAGGTCTATTATAAACAACTTTTTAAGACTATTGTAACAGAACTAAAGACAATATTTACACAAAATATAAATATGAGTACAGTAAAATATAATATGAAAAATACTATGTTTAGAGTGGAGAGCTTTGCAGATTTAAAAATACATAGTGTGGAGCAGAAATGTGCAACATGTTCAAAGGGTTGTGCAGGATTTACAGTAGTCTCGTGTGGAGTTGAAGCTGAGCAGCTGTTGGCGGAAGTCTGCTGCCTCTATGTCTCTTTGCTTCAACAAACTGTTACGCCGGTGATACACACACACACAACACACACACACACACACCACACACACCACACACACACACACACACACACACACACACACACACACACACACACACACACATCAACACACACACACACACACATCAACACACACACACACACACACACACACACACACACACACACACACACACACAGGTAGGAGAGGCTTGTAGCTCTCCGTGCATCTGTGTGTTATTCATCTGTGTTTTCGCTTGGTGGACTCTTGTTTGTTTTGATCTGCTGGTGAGGCTGAGTTTCACATAAAGCGGGGCATCCAGAGCAGGTTGTATTGACAACAACACTATGAAACAACAATGCTGTCCGCTTTGAAAAGACTTCAGTCGCACCTGCCCGTGTTTTCATCCGCGAGCCTTTAAGCGATTGTTCATTTGACACAATCTTGTGATGTGAAGTTTCCCACATGGTATTTGGTCTCAGATCTATTTGTGTGGGTTGATGTAGTATAACATAGCCTATGTCAGCTGGTTTCTGCACTCTCATCATTTATTCAGTAGTTCATGCCGCCTGTATTTAGATCAGCATGTGTACGAGTTGTGCGTGGTTTACCAGCATTTGCTGCTCATGTGCATGTTTGTTTCATGTTTTAGGGTTTATTTCATATAATAATCTTTTCCAATCTATTCATTTTTCACTCAGCTACATCCACCAACTAACATGATATCCACTGTATAGACTGCCAACCTTATTTCACTTTTTAGCTCTAGTAAACATCTGTTTACATCTCTTTCTCTATTGTACCAAGGACTTTTTTCATTGTTAATTAATCAATTATTTCCTTTAAGCTAATCAACAAATAATTTGGTCTGTAAATTGATAAAATTACTCTTACTGAGCATCCTGGTTGGGTTTAAGGTGCCTACCATGAACCGGAGCCTTTGTTGCTTGACACTCCTTGTGTCTTTCTCCTTATATCTTGTCACATATAAGGCATAACATTCTTTAAAACAAAATAGCAATCACAATATGTTTCAATATAAATGTAATTGTCAAATGCTTGCTTTGCAATTCAAGCCAAATATAAATAAATCTTCCGGTTTCTAGTGTTTTCACTGTTAGGATTTGCTGCCCTTGTTGTAGAAAACTACATTTATCTGAGGTTTTTGTAATGTTGGTTTGCGAAAAACAAGACGTTTAAAGATAATTTTCAATATTTTCTAACATTTAAAGACCGAACAACTGATCCTTTGATTGAGACATAACTGTCAGATAAATCAATGACGAAAACGCCATAGTTGCAGCCCCTGCAATGATAAAAAAACTGAAAAAAACAAAGAATCCTTACATTTCCGAAGCTTGAATCCTTGGATGTTTGTGCATTATTGCCATAAATATCGTAAAGATCAACTTTATCTCAAATATCATTATGCTGATACATTTATTGTATGCCAGTCAACCCATAGCTCATACTGTATAAATTAATCAATTGTTTTGTACATTTTGTAATGCCGTTGGTCCTGTATTATGATGAACAATGGGTTGAATTCGAATTATAGAAAAAATGTCTTCTCTTGAGGCATTAATATTAGTATCCTTATTGATAAACATTTAAAAAAAATCAAAAACATCCATAGTAGATTGTCTAATTACAGGCTCATGTTAGTCGTACAATATAGGCACATTTAGTTCTTCTTCTGTATATCCACATGGATAACATCAAGCACAAGGTATAATCCTTCCAGATTGGCATTACTTTACAGCGAGAAGACAAACACTGGTTTATTTTATGAATGTGCAGCCGGTTCCTGTGGAGTTCATCTATATATAGGCACGCGCCTGTAGAAACACACCTGACTGATTCAGAAGTCATTGCACGGGAGGAAAGGAGTGGTTTTCTCCTCTTAGCTCGTGACTGCTTTCAAATGTTTTGCAAAGGACCCAGTGGTGGCCTTGATTTTGACACTTCTCCCTTAAGAGGCGCGGCGGTTTGTCGGGGCCATCACATCATGGTGGGGGAAGGGCACGGCCATTAAAACAGGATTACTGTATCTCCTCCGACAGCCACTTTAAACGAAGGGAAGCTGTGCCTGCAGTGTGTGTTTCATGGAGTCACCCAATGCATCCACTCGCATGCCATGTCTGTCTTTATTCAGGGTGAAGCCAGAGCCTAGAATCAGTAGGCTGCATGCACACAAGTAACTCTTACTGTGGATACCAAGAGTGAGGTAATGCTCTACAATGTGCATTGTTTTAAAATGATATACGATAGAACTAATGCCACAGTGACACGTCCTAAAACCCGGAAGTGAACTCCTTCCGGTTCATTCCATCATAAATCTATCGATTAGATTTATGATTCGAAAATTATAAAAGTAGGGTAGACGTGGATATTATCCAGCTGAACAAAACGTGATCTGTTTCTTCAATTTATTTCGAGCTATTTTCCAAAATCCTATGGAGAGATTGCATTGCTTTTTGTCGAAGGAACCGGAAAATGCTAACTTACTTCCGGGTTTTAGGACGCGTCACTGTGGCACTCTATAACCCAAGTTTACATGAATTATTTGATAGACGAGTGTATATCCAGATGCATGGTAACAGTTGATGTAATGGGAGTAGGAATAAAATACATAAATACCATCCATGAAAAGCAGGTTTTTTTACCACCATGTTAAACATACAGTAAACATGCTATTTTTTTATGCACAGCCTTGCATCAGGTTTACGCAGAAAAACATATTCAAAACATCAAAATACAGGTGAAATTCCAAAACAAAAACCAAAAACAAGTACATTTTCTGAATTACTACCTTTATTGATGATATGATAAGATCATAAAATGTTGTTTGAGGGATTGTTTTTTAAATAAGGTAATAAAGTACTAGTACACTGAGACCCTGATACACCTGGCATAAACATGCGTCTCGGGCAGGGGACTGCTCTTAATTCAAACTGCAAACAACATCCTCCTTCCTTACCTTTCAAAATAAAAACCATAGTCATTCATACTGTATCACTGATTACAATAAGAAAAGAAAAAAAGCCACATTTTTCTTCCACTTTGATCTCCGGCAGACCAGGGACGGGAAGTGCACTATTGCCTCGACAGTTGCAAACCAAAATGACGTGTTGTGATCACTACGTGATCACTGGCACTGATGTGAGGACGCATCCTAATGCCAGGTGTGATCTGACGTACTAAGAGCGGTTCCACCTGTAATCAGATCACAACAGCGTGTTGATGCCAGGTGTAAACAGGGTCTGAGTTCATGATCTCAAGAGGTGTTGAATTAAACTGGGTTCAAGTGCAGTTTAATCTCACTTACTTGTGGTACTTTCTCAGCTAATTAATTTGTAAGGGTTGAGTCGAGAGTTGTGATAAAGGAGATGACGCATGAATAAATAGATGACGCATGAATAAATACTGTTTAAATCAATGACACAGCGAGAGCTTTGGCTTTGATTCGAGTCACAGCGAAGAATGCCAGAAGATTTAACAGGTACGCTCAGGTTATGTCTTTTAGAAGCGAGTGAAAACACAAAGGGAGGCCGCTTTGTCATTCCTTCAACCAAACAAAGCGACAGAAGGGCAACATCGCTCATTTTAGATGAGAAGGAGATTGCCACACCAGATGGTTTAATGATGTTCCTAAACACCTGACCTCCTTGATTAAAAATCTACTCCCATCCATCCATCCATCATGTTAAAAGAGCAGTGCATTCACAATGTTGTAAATATTTCACTGAATGAGAAATTGCAGCTGAAATGCTCAATTGTTGTACTTTGCATTCTATTTATAGGCAATGATGTATGTCCAGTGATAATTAGTTGATCTGCGTTCGAGATGTCATTACATGTAGCATATAGGTGCTTTTTATAGAACAGTAACTCTAGTACATCTGACTGCATTTACCATTGGTGGTGCTACTGTATAATTTTCCTGGGGCAATTATAATGACATCTAAATAATATTTTAAATATATATATTGGTAGATCATTGTGTATAAAGTGTGCTCACTCAGAGATTTTTAAGTGGTTTATGACATATGCCATATTGATCCATTTTCTTAGGTGGATTTTTGCAGAATATTTTCTAAATTGATCAATAAATGGGCCTATAACATTTCAGAAACCTTTGAAAAATGTTCCTCACAGTTTCTGAAAATCCAACATTTCTTAACATTTCTTAAAAGTCAAAATCCCAAAGGCTAATATGGTACAAAACAAACAGAAACAGGACATACTAATATTTGAGATAGTGAAAACTACTAACTGCTATTTTTGCATTAACAATTGAAATGGTTAATTGGTTATCAAAAGATAGTGAGCATCATTTTGTCGATTCTGTCGAATAGTCGCAGCTCTACAAGACTTCAACTGAAGGCATTGAATAACAAAATATGACTCACTGCATAAAACATTCTTATTATATTTTTTAAAAAACACAGTGGTCTTTAATAGCCACAGCAGTGTAATACGTTTGAGAT